GCTGCGTTGGAGTGCGGCGAGGTAGCCGCCGAACAGTGGGCGGCTGGGCTGGATGTGGATGGGTTTGAGACCCAATTTATCTAGCCTTTTTTAGTTAGTTGGAGGAAAAAGTAAGCGTGAAAGTAATTGGAGGGAAAAGTAAGCGCCATGGTCGAGAACTAGAGGGAAATTTGAATATATATTTTTTTTCAAGGAGAACAGGAGGGAAATTATTTTGGAAGAACCGGGACATTGTTACATATATTAATTTGTTTGGAATATAAATTTTCCAAAAAATGTTTTTGGCATGGAAAATTTGAGTATACTGTATTTATTATTTTATTGATTGAAAGGGAAATTAGATATAGATAAATAGTAATGGCTTTATAAAATTGATTTACGTAACATGTGCTAAATAACCTATAACATTGTTTCTTGCTCTAACAGCGGCGATCGGCTGGCAGATCCCGCTCCTGATCGATCGTCTCGACCAAGATCGTATCATTCCCACACGCCTTCCAATGGAGGCTATGACCGGTGTAGGACAAAACTACGGCTAACATCAATGGTAGAAGTTGCGACCTGTCCAGGAACATGCTGTGACCAACGAGGCTGGCGACTTTTGATCGGTGCTGAGAGCACAAGTGGTGGTGCTACAAAGTGGCGACGATGACATGCGTCAGCTGCCACCACCCGTCGACGGTGTTGTAATGACATATCCGTGGTGATAGAGCATAAGGGGAGGGTATCCCAGCTACACCACGGTTCAAAAAACCGACCATACTTGCAGTCATATCAGAAAAAGAAAACTTGCAACCTCGATGGTTGGTTAAAGAAAAACATTTTGTAACTCGATCGACCGATATGACTCCTAATCGGTCGCCTCAACCAAGATCATGTCATCCCCACACGACTACCCATGGAAGCTATGACCGGTGTGGGAGAAAGCTAAGGCCGACAATGCTAAAAGTTGCAATCAGCCCAAGAGCATGTTGTAACCCGCGAGACTGGCGACTTTTGACCGGTGTTGAGAGCACATGGGGTGGTGCTACGAAATTGGCGACGACGATATGCGTCAACTACGACCGACCGTCGGCGGTGTTGTAACGACATATCCGAGAGGCTGACAGATCAATCTAGCCTCCTCATTCCTTCCACCTTCATGGTGATAGAGAATAAGGAGAGGGATACCAGCTGCACGCACGGTTTAAAAAACCGAGCATACTTGCAGTTGTACTAGAGAAGGAAACCAGCGACCTTGATGGTTCTTTAAATAAAACTATTGTATTTAGACCGAACGATCTTGCTCTTGATTGGTCGCCTCGACCAAGATCGTGTCATCCCACACGACTGCCCATGGAATCTATGTCGTGTGGGGGAAAGCTATGACTGACAACCGACCGCAAATGATGTTGAAAGGACATATCCGAGAGGTTGTCAAATCAATCTACTCTCCTCATTCCAAGGACGTTAAGCGATGGACTTGCGGCTCCCTGGCCTGCAGCGTCGGCCGCCAGAACTAGTTGATGCTCGTGGCCTGCCGCGCCGGTCGCCTCGACATGAGGTTTGGAGTAGGAGGTGATGGGTTCAATCCATTTGGGAAGATGAGTTCCAAACATAGCTGTTGGCCCGTGGTCTTAGTGCCCTATAATCTTCCTCCATGGTTATGCATGAAAGCCTCCTCTCTTCTGCTTA